CACAGCTCCTGGCCCCTCCAGCTAAGGGTCTAGACAGGCTGGCATTGCCTGGTGCCCTGGAAACCGCCAGCCTTGTCCTACACCACCCACCCACTCCCTCACCCACATCCTGGGGGTGACCTCCTCTGGAACCGTCAGACCCTCTCAAGCAGAAACAAGGGTGGGTGTGTGTGTCGGGGGGAGAACAGCGCCTGGGGCACCCCCAAGTGATGGGAAATGCACTATACCTGCCTGGTCTTCCCCGACTAGCCAGGAAGCCTCCCTAGGACCTTCCTCCTGCCTCCTCCCCACCCCCCAGGCCCCTTACTACAGGTAGGATGGGCCTGGCCAAGGTCAGGTTCTCACCCAGATGGAGCTAAGAGTTCTGATCCCTGAGCACCTCCTGGTTGTTCCACCGGGAGCTGGGCTGGTTCAAAGCTTTCTTCTGCTTCTTAGGGCCTTGGGAGAATCTGGAGCACTACTGAATCCTACCAAGTTCCTTCTAGACTGGAGCTCCTCAGGGGCAGGAGCACGTCCCCGTGGCCAGCATGGAGCCTGGCACATAGTGAGTGCTCAAGAATGACACTTCTCTGGAGCTTACTATGTGTCAGGCACTGTTCTAAGACCTGTGCAAATGTTAACTCATTTAATCCTCCCCAAAGCCCCGCGAGGTGGGTACTGTGGTGATCTGCATTTTATAGGTGAGGCACAGGGAGGTGAAGAGCTTTGCCCAAGGTGACACAACTGGTAAGAGGTGGAGGCAGGATTTGAACACAGGCAGCCTGGTCCCGTCATGCTCTCCCACTAGCCAATGTGTATTTGTTAGATGGGATGAGCTCAGCGGGAGAGTGGACCTTCCCAAGGTCGCCAGTGAGCGAGGGCAGACCTGGGACCAGACTACCCAGGCCAGAACAGCTTGGGGGCCTGGGGTCCTTGGGTTCCCTACTCCAGCAGGTGGTGAGTGATTATTCCAAGGTGAGCTCCATTTCCTCTCTGGGGCTTGGCGGTGACTGGGGTCCTGTTGAAGGTAAACAAAAGCAGCCTCCTGGGACACTTTCTCCAAATCCTGGGAGAATCTTCTTTTCCTTCCTTCAGGGTCATCCCAGGTGGAGCTGCTTTAGCCAAAACTGTGGATGGGGTGAGCGTTGGGGAGTGAAAGGAGGCCAGGGGAGGAAGCGCCAGCAGCGGGCAGAGGAGATCTGGGGGTAGGGGTGTATGTGAGGTGAAGTCCTGAGGGGAACCCTTGACTCTTCCCACCCTGGGAAGAGACAAGTTGGCCCAGGGAACAGCTGGGGATGCTCCGGAGTCAAAGCCAGAGACATCTTGTTGTATAGGGGTGGGGGTTTCTGGTCTTATTATTAAACTAAGGGCTGAGGGTACAGAGAGCAGAGGGTCTCAGGCTGGAGGCAAAGAAGGGAGGAGAATGGAGCTGGTCACATGGGATTGTTGCTTTCTTCGCAGGAGAAGAGGGACTGGAAGTCAGCCTGGGGCGGGGGGTGGCGACTGGAAGCAGAAATGAGGGAGACCAGCTGCACCAAAGCCTGTTGGGGGGTGGCCTGGTCCCACAGGGTTCGGGAGCACTTGAGCCGGGCAGAAGTCTGGGGGAGCTCTCGTCCCACAGCCCAGAAGAGCAGCTAACAATTTCACAAGTTGTTCATCCTCTGCTCTTGAGCTCAGAACACTGGCTACTTATTTGGTTGGTAGCATCTGACCAGACCACAGGGCAGCGTCTTTATGAAAACTCCAAATTTTGTCTGGATTCATACGACTGACGAAGCTCACTTGATCTTCCCAGGTGTACATCTTACCCCCATGGGGCCCAACTAACATGTGGGCGATTAAGATTCTGCAGAGAGGCAGGGGTGGGTGGGGTTCTCAGCCCTGGGGTGCCAGGGAATGTGGTTTCTTCAAGGGGAGGGGATCATGCCCACAGACCCCAAAATGGACGGGAGCCTGCAATGCCTAGAATTCTTCTGAGGTCCGGGAAGAAGGCTTCCCTAGCAGATGCCACGGGATGGGCATGCGGACGATAGCTCACCAACAGCATCTGAGGAAATACGGTGTTTTCTAAAGTTGATGTCATGGCACTGTTTCTTCAAAGGAAATGTGATCCCAACCACAACATAGGAAATAAGGAAAGGGGAAACTGGGTCCTGGAAGATCTCCCAGCTGTCTTCGTAGGTCCTGAGAGGGCTCCTAAGGCAGTGCCAGGCTAGTCTTCTCGGACAGACCAGGGCCCAGTGTGGCCTGAGGCCTCTATGCGGTTGGCTGCCTTTCCTGACCATTAATCGCTACTAAGTGTCATTACTGCTAATAAAATTAACCGACTTTATACTGGACTTTTTCTGGGGCCATCAATCACAGGGTCTATTACACGAAATTAAAAAAAAAAGGGGGGGCCTATGGATGGGAGAGAGGGTCTTTGCTGGCCCTGGCTCACAGCTGCAGGCTAGGGCCTGCTGGTCCTTCACAGCTGTCAGAAGCTCATGATCAGTGACAGCTCCCTTGGTTAGACGACCAACTCCAAGCCTTAACGCCCTACTATAGATAGGAGTGTCGAAGGTAAGAACACGGCTGCCCACAGGAAGACTCTGGGGCTGGGGCTGAAAAGCTCCCCAAATTCTCCCACCACTCTCACCTCTGCTTCTCTCTATGCATTCGGTTCATTGTTTTGCTCTCTCTTTGGACCAGCTTCTCCTTTTTATCTCCGGAGTTACAGGCCCAATCACCCAAAGAAAGACGGAGAGAGAAAGCAACTGTAAGCACAACTTAATTCAAATTCCAAATTCCCAGAGAAAGGACTGATTGGCCCAGCCTGAGTCACGTGATCCTCATTGGTCCAATCGCTGGGTCGGAGCGGCAGGGTCATGTGGTATAAAATGGTCAGCCACATGGTGGTAACCATGTAGATGGGAAGAACCAGTGGGTAGCCAACTCAACAGGTGTCTGCAATTTAAAGGTCTTAGTAATAAGGACTCAAAAACTGATAGATGATCGAAATTATGTAACAGAAAGTATAATGTTATATACTTTGGTATATATTGTATATATATATATGGTATATGTATAAAGGTATATATATAAAGCTGTAATGGTATAATAATAATAGCTATTGTTCTTGGAATGGCATCTGAGACAGGCTTGAAGGATGTGCAGCCCCTCTGGTCAAAATTGCCCTCACTCCCTGCGTGTTCTCTCATCTGTCCGTCAGCTGCTATGAGGGTGGTCCCAATTTCTGAACGGTAGGAACAGTGTGAGCAGAGTTTTCCCTCACACCAGCACCTGCTGTGGGGAGGAGACCATCTGAGGGACTAACTGGTGCCTGCTCCCTTTGTCCCCTTCATACTGGAAGCCAGTCAGGGTGGGGCCTCCTCAGCTAGAGCTGACATCTGGACCTGCCAAGGGTCAAGCTCTAAGGGTTTCCTGCCAGGCTGCAGGGAGGGGTTTGGGTGTAGACCTGGTGGACCGGAAATTTACCCATTTGCCCCCAGATTAATGATTAACAGGTCCCTGCCCTCACCCTGTCTAGCAGGGGAGCCTAGGGCCAGGCTGGGCCAGGAGGAGCCTGATAGCATCTGTCTCTGCTCAGAGGTTTCAGAGATATGCTCCACACTGGGTTGGCTGCATCTGATGGATTTAGAATCTATGGGCACTTTCTGGGGGCACCTGGGGCCTGGCCAGAACCCACACTCTCCCTGGGGCAGTGTGGCATCCAGCCAGATGTCCAGGCTGGGTCAGGTGGCTCCAAACAGGAGAGCCATGTCCTCGGCTCCATGGGGTGTGGGCCTCTCCTGGAATGGCGTATATTCTACCCATGCTGAGGGCCACCAGGGGACAGGATAGGAAAGAGGAGAATCATCTCAGAGAGCTTCTGCGGAGAGGGAAGGTGAGCTCTAATGGTATTCCCTGTCTTGCTGCTCATCAGCTTTATGGCTCAGGCCAGTCACTGCCTCTCCATAAAACTTTGTTTCCTTATCTGGACAAAGGGAAGATCTGCCCAGGTTAAAGAATAAAGCCTCTTGCGAGAGGAAAGAATTTTGAGATACTCCAGCCTGCAGAAAGGTGAACCAGTGTGTCCCAGGCACTGTGGTTGGTACTTTCCATATAATCCTTCCAGCAGCCCCAGGAGGTGGAAAGGATCCCCCTTTGCACTTCCCAGAGGAGAAAACCAAGGCTTCAAGGCGACACGGCTAGGAAGTGGCAGCCTGACTTCAGAATCCACGGACTTCGGATATAGTAGAACAGGAAGTCTGGAGGGGATGGTGTGATGGAAATTCATCCACCCATCTGTCAGTTCATCTGTCCATCCGTCCATCTGTCCATCCACCCTTCCTTCCTTCCTTCCTTCCTTCCTTCCTTCCTTCCTTCCTTCCTCCATCCCTCCCTCCCTCCAGGTACTCCCTAAGCATCTCTTTGTAACAGGTACTGAGTGGCCAGAAGGTTGAAGATCTAACTGGGAATTGCAGAAACAGGCTAGGTGGGCATGGGATTATTTGGGCAGCCGTATAACCTGAGGGAGAGAGGGATATCAGGGAAATTGCGGAGCATTTGCCCAGCACCTCCATCCGTCTGCCTGCCCCTGCTCTGAGGAACGTGGCTCTCCCCTCTGGACAGCAGCCAGTACTACGCACAGTCCTTCCCAAACATCCCCGATCATAGACATTGCCCAAAGTATGTGGTAAATACAGATCCCCAGGCTGCACTCCAGACCCAGTGTGGACCCTGGGCATCTATATTTTTAATAAGCACCCAGATGATTTTTATGATTGGGCAAGTTTGGGAAATAGAATGGGTAAGAACAGCAGAGACATTGGCCTCTGGAAAACTTGGGCACGAGAGCTTGTTCCAAGCACTTGGGTCTCCTACTCTGAAAAATGGGCCCATAACCACATGCGGCTGGCCCGCCTCAAATGAAGCCCCCAAGAGGGCCCCCTCCCCCCTTGCTTGTCCCCTGTCCTACCTACCCCCTTCCCCCATCAGGACCCCCAAGGGTCACTGTCTCCCTCTCTCACTCCCTCTAGCCTGACCGGGCGGGAGGTCCTGACGCCCTTCCCAGGGCTGGGCACGGCCGTGGCCCCTGCACAGGGTGGGGCCCACCTGAAGCAGTGTGACCTGCTGAAGCTGTCCCGGCGGCAGAAGCAGCTCTGCCGGAGGGAGCCTGGCCTGGCCGAGACCCTGCAGGACGCTGCCCACCTCAGCCTGCTCGAGTGCCAATTCCAGTTTCGACACGAGCGCTGGAACTGCAGCCTGGAGGGGAGGACCGGCCTGCTCAAGAGAGGTAGGGAGGAGGGCTGGGGCGGGGGAGGAGGGCTGGGGAGGAGGCCTGGGGGAGAGGAGGGCTGGGGAGGAGGCCAGCCATCCTGCCCCCCCGGCCCCTGGGCCCAGGCCATGCTGCCCTTGCGAACCTAGCATAGTCCCCCGCTAGAAGAGTCCCAGGAGTTAATGAGGCCCAGCCTTTCCCTTGGTTTGGGGGGGAGTGGAGGAGCAAGGGAGACCTGGGAGAAGAGGAGGCACAGCCCATTCCTGGATCGAGGAGGAGCCCACAGATGAGATGGGTGGTCCCCCAGTCCCCTCCCTCAGCCTCCTGCACACACGTGCACAAAACAAGGGGCAAGAACATATAAGGGTGGAAGGCAGGTAATAGTTGGCCAAATAACCTGCGACGGGCCAAATTCATGTGTTCCCTCATTCACCCGTGACTTTGTTCATCGCACCCGTCGGTCCGTCATTCCCTCCTTCCCTTCCATTCACACCCTACCTTCTTCTCTCCTCCCTTCCTCCCTGCATCCCTCCACACCTCATTCACTAAGCGTCTGGTGAGGCTCGCAGTGAGCCGGCCTCTGTGCCGGAAGCTGGAGGCACAGAGCTGAACCACACCCCATCTACACTTGGAGAGCACACAGCCTCGGGGGGGAAGCAGCTCAGTGTGTGACTCTGTCACCAAGGAGCAAGGGGCTTTCACAGAAAGGCAGTGACGGTAGAGAGGGGAGCCGGCCCCCTTCCAGGCCAGCTGCTCTCCACGGCGGGGGAGGGTCCGGGATGGAGCTGATGTTACTCTCCCACCCGTGTTAGCAGCACCCAGGTCCCCCGGAGAGCGGCGGAGGGTGGCCGGGTTTGCGCCAGGCCCCAGCAAGGGTACAGGAGTAGCGATGGTCCTGGCGGGGATTGGGATGATCAGTCCCGAACAAGTCAGGCAGGAGACCCAAAGTCACTCTGCCACTGGGTCTACTGCACAGGTAGGGAGCAGAGAGTGACATCTAAGCGGGATCTTGAAGCCCAGGACGCCCACAGAGCATATTTCAGGGGATCAGGGGCCTCAGAAATGGGTTGGTCCAGTTTGCCCACACATTCACTTGGAGTCAAGGTCAGTGGTTTGGCCTCAGCATGTGCCCCAGTCACTTCTCGGCATCTTAGTGTCCTCGTCTAGAGGCAGGAACCCCTGTCTGCTGCCCTAGGAATCTGGGCATATGCTCCATAGTAAATCTGAAAGTTCCATCTACCCGGCAGCCTGCAGCCTGAGGCTAAGGGGCGGGTGATAGGAGGCTGCCCCGAGCCATGTCCTCAGCTCCACACGACCCTCGTCCGGCTCATCACGGCGCCCCCATCATCCTCTTCTGCCCTCAGAGGGCAAAGGGCAGCCTCTGAGCCCACTCTCCTCCTCCCTCCCGGATCCCTCGGGTGCCTGGCCCAGGTTTCAAGGAGACGGCCTTCCTGTACGCAGTGTCCTCGGCCGCCCTCACCCACACTCTGGCCCGGGCCTGCAGCGCCGGCCGCATGGAGCGCTGCACCTGTGACGACTCTCCGGGCCTGGAGAGCCGGCAGGCCTGGCAGTGGGGCGTGTGCGGCGACAACCTCAAGTACAGCACCAAGTTCCTGAGCAACTTCCTGGGGCCCAAGAGAGGAAGCAAAGACCTGAGGGCCCGGGCGGATGCTCACAACACCCACGTGGGCATCAAGGTGAGCGCGTTCCCCAGAGGCGCAGAGCCCTGCCCCAGCCAGGGTGCTGGTGCAGGCAGCCGGTCTGTAGGAGGCCCCTCGGCGCACACGCAGCTGTCCCCGGGGAGCCCCATTCCTTCCACCGACATGCCCTTACCAGGTGCCAGGAAGTAGGGAAGGGTCCTGGGCACCATCGCAGGCTAGGCAGCAGGTGGGAGCCAGGCTAGGGACTGAGCCCTGATGAGGCCGAAACATATTTGGAGAAGGGTCTCCATTCCCGGGACTGGCCTTCCTGGACGTCCCAGAAGCAAGTTTGAAAGCTTTGATCTGGGGCAACACCCCCACTTCCTCCATTTTACAGACGGAAAGACGGAGGAGGCCCAGGGAAGGGAAGGGGCTTAGCAGAGGCACATGGTAGTGGGAGGCCGGAGCGTAAAAAGTTTCTCGGTCTATTGGGATCAGAGGCTGGGAGAGGCCGGGGTTCCGCTTCTTTTGGAAACTGACTTCCGCGTCCTCACTGCTGCTGACTCGGTGTAAACCAGGGCTGCTGTGCTCAGTTGTGCAAGCTTTCTCCTCCACAAGGACCCTGGGCCAAGGCAAGGAGCAGGGGCTGAGATCCGGCCCACACTGCTCTCCCCGAGGCAGGCACCTTGGCCCAGCGGAAGGGTGGCCTTGAACTAGTCTGCACAAAGGCGGCACGTGGGTTAGCTTGGGTCCCGTTTGCCTCCTTCTGCTGCCTCTCGCCCATCCTGCTGCCACGTCCCTGCCAGGGTCTACGCTCTGGGGGCGGGCTGGCGCCGTGGGCTCGGGGGCCCCGGCCACACCTGCATTCTGTCTCTCCCTGCAGGCAGTGAAGAGTGGCCTCAGGACCACGTGTAAGTGCCACGGCGTGTCGGGCTCCTGCGCCGTGCGCACCTGCTGGAAGCAGCTCTCCCCCTTCCGAGAGACGGGCCAGGCGCTCAAGCTGCGCTATGACTCAGCCGTCAAGGTGTCCAGCGCCACCAACGAGGCCTTGGGCCGCCTGGAGCTGTGGGCCCCTGCCCGGCCCGGCAGCCCCACCAAGGGCCTGGCCCCGCGGCCTGGGGACCTGGTCTACATGGAAGACTCGCCCAGTTTCTGCCGGCCCAGCAAGTACTCGCCCGGCACGGGGGGCAGGGCGTGCTCCCGGGAGGCCAGCTGCAGCAGCCTGTGCTGCGGGCGGGGCTACGACACCCAGAGCCGCCTGGTGGCCTTCTCCTGCCACTGCCAAGTTCAGTGGTGCTGCTACGTGGAGTGCCAGCAGTGCGTGCAGGAGGAGCTCCTGTACACCTGCAAACACTAGGCGGGCTGCCCCGGGTGCCCGGAGGCGCTGCCAGGACCCCTGGCGCTCGGCCCCCTTGAGCACCCCCCCCCCGCCCCGCAGGGACGCACAGCAGGCAGGCACTCTCCGATGCCCGCGCCCCTGCACGCGCACTCCTCCCTCCGGGGCCTCAGCCGCCTTTCCCTCCGTCCACATTCCACAGAGAGAGGCTCGCGGGGACCTGCACGGAGGGTCCCCAGCCTTGTTGGAGCAGGAGCACAGAGTCGGAAAGGAGGTGGGGGGCCGGGGAAGGGAGACCAAGAGGAGGCCAGGACTGCGGGTCTTAGGCGGGGGACATCCCGCTAGCTCCATTCCTCGGGTGAGTGGCCGAGAGCCAGCAAGATGTTGGGAGGTGAGCTCCCGGGCCAGCAGGGCACGGGAAGGCAGTGTCAGCTGGTTGCCAAGGCTGGAGCCTGGCAGGGATGGGTCAGTCCAGCCCGGGGGCCCGGCTCAGGTCACAGTGAGCCCTGGGGGCCATGCAGCTCCACTCCCGGTTGGCTTTGCTGTGCTAGAGGTCGGGGGAGAGGCCGGGAGGTAGGGGCTGTTTGTTTGCAGAAGGGAAAGCTTGCTGGGCTCGAGTGGACCCAAGTCAGATACATGCCCTGGAGCCCTGTGTCCTTGATTTGGCTTTTAAAATAGGCACTGAGGCCTCATTCTTGCCTTGAGAGCTGAGTCATGCACGCCCAGCCAGCCCCGCTCCGTAAGAGCCCCAGCGGATGCGAGGCTGGTGGGGTCTCGCTGTCCCCGGCTGGCGTGCAGATAGAGAACCGGGGCTGTACAGAGCGACAGCGACCCCTCCCCTGTTTTCCGGCTGGGGAACCTTTAGTCCCAGCCCAGGCGAGGGTGACAGCCTTTGGTTGGAGGCAGGGATGCAGGGAGCTCGGCTTCTCAGCTTCCCCTTAGGCCCTGTTTGGTCAACTGCCCGTGGCTGCGGTCACCCGTTCCATGAGGCCCCAGCGCAGCTGACGTTCGCGACCCAGAAGAGTTCTGGCTCCGGTTACAATTCTGCTCTTCTAGCTACTCATTTAATTAAGGTTTTGCCTTGACGTTACAGGCTTTGCTAAGCCTGCCTCCTTGGGGGCCCCCTTCACTCACGGAGGACCCCCACTTTGGCTCATACCTGAGGAATAGAAGTGACTCTGCTAATTTCCTCTGATCCTGTGGACATTTAAGGGGCTACCTGCCAAGGCCCCTGTGTGGGAGGAGGAGAGAGTAGCTGGTACATACACACACACACGCATGCACACCCCTTGGACCTGCCAGGCTGGAGGGTTCCCATTTAGCAGCACACACTCTGGTTCAGAACCAGGACCTTGCAGGGGTCACTCTGCTAGAAGCTGAATGCCAGCCAGGAGGAAGTGAGTGACCTCCTTCGGGAAGCCCTTGGCCGCTTTGCCGGCCCTGCCGCGCCCTCTGTCAGCTTCCTTTCTCCCTGAACCCAGAATTGCTGACCCTCTGCTGAACGGAAACTTCAGAATCAGCCGTATGCTCAGAAACCACCAGTTCGAGCCCAGGAAGGAGCCCCGGGCTCCCTGGGACATCCAAGGGTGAGGAGCTTCCCTGGCTTTGGTGAGTCAGGGCAGCTTGTGAGATGCTGGAAGGATCTCTGGCTGCAGAAGTTCTGAGGAGAAGCCAAACTTACCTGAGACCCCCCTCGCTGGACTGACCTTGCTGGCCCAGGCAGCCGGCCCACCTCTTGTCAGGAAGAGCAAAAAGGAGAGCGGGCTGGTTTTCTAGTTTCTTCCACTCCCCCCACTGTATGGAGACTGTTTCTTGGCCAGCCCAATCCATCTTGTTCCTCTGAGACCCCAACTCTGCCTCCACCTTGCCCTAGCCCTCGTTATAAGGCGCCAGAGGCCTCCCTGGCAGGCAGAAGGAGTCTGATCCACCAACATATCATCTGCACCCCAACTCCCCTGCTGGCTGGGGTTGGAGGAGGATAAAGGCAGACTCTGAGGGCCCCTCGGCCTGGGGGGTCCTCCCCGTCTAGCTCCCCCTTCTCCTTCCTTTCTCTACCCTTTCTCTTCCGGGTGTCCCCAAAGGTCCACCTCAGCCCTGCTGGGGCCCCTCATTCTACAGCTTTAAGGGAAACGCTCACAGGGTATTTTTTGGTCTACCTCACATACGTAGTTTTTAGGGCAAAAGAGAATAATTTATATAGCTAAGATATATGAGAAAATATTTATGTATAATATTTATATAGTTTCTATATTTCATGGGCAGCACCTGCGGGGGTTGTGTGTACCATCAGAAGCCGTCCTGTCTGAGGAGACACCGCTTGGCTTGGCCGGAGCGGGGCCGCCCCTGCGCTCTTCCCCAGGGGGCTGGGCTGTCTTGTAGGTCCTGCAAGCAGCCTGTCTTGGCGCTGGTGAGAACACATCCCCTCCATGCATGAGCCCTAGTGGGCTTGATCCGGATCTTCCTTGTGAAGGTTTTGTAAATTCTCTGTTCTGGGTCCCAGGCCCCTCTTCTGCTCTGGCGAAACTGTCTTGCTCATAATAATGATGACGAGAAAGATGGCCACACTTTGCGTTTGTAAAGCACTTTCGGTCTTCAGAAACACTCCTGTCCCTTTAATCCCGCTTGATTTCCCCCGTTATCCCTGAATTGTGTGTGTGGTGGGGGGCTCATACTGTGCGGGGTTTACAGACGCGGCCCAGAGATGGAGGGCTGTGCCCCAAGTCACACTAAGGAGGTGCGCTCAAGGAGTATTTTCTGAAACTGCATGGGCCAGGCACTGTGCGAGCTGACTTGCCCTGAGCCTAGGAGCCCCCAAGCCTGGAGACACGTTGAGCCCAAGAGCCCAGGGAAGTGGCTCCTTCTGCTGTGTGTGACCCCGGCCTTTCGGATCTGGACAGCACATCAGCATCTCTCCAAGCAGAGTCCTGTGTCTCAGGGGCTGGGACTGCCTGAGAGGCCTGGAGAGAAAGGGCCCCAGGGGCTGCTTGAGAGGAGTGGGCGACACCACAGGGCCCCTCCCGGCCCACAGATGGGTTTTGTTTGCTCTCATTTGTGGTTTTCTCTTAAAAACGAATTGTTTTCCATTGGATTTCTGGCTTGCCTTGTGCAATGAATCGGGTTGGCCAACGGGGCGTACTTTCTCACCTGGCCACAGTCAGCTACAGAGAGGGAACCCTATTAGACAGGCCACATGGGGGTCCCCAGTTTGCCAAGTACCCCCCACCTCAGTCCACCTCGCTCATGGGTGTTCCCGCCTGGCTCTCGTGGGCGCATCGTGTCCCTCCCCCTGTCCAGATAAGCCCAGTGTCCCTGTGTCCTTCACGGCCGGGCCGACAGGCCCACAGGCAGACCCATGCCAGCCCAAAGATTATTTCTTGCGTTCCAGAGTTTCCTCTCTCAACAACCAATGAACTTCAAGTGTTTTTTGTCTCAGCGCGTTGTGGAATTCTAATGGGAGCTATCATATACTGAGCACCTGTTACGTCCATCCCTTCAATCAGCGATTACGTAGGGAGCCCCGACTGAGCGCCAGGCACCTCTCTGGGCGTTGGGGTGTAGCAGCGAGTGAAACCAAGTCCCTGTCTCGTGGGGCTGACACTCTAGTTGGGGAGAGAGACAATACACCAATAAACTCCATGTCAGATATTTGTACCCACTTTGTCTTGATTTATTGCAATAACACAATTGGACACAACCAGTGAAGGCTCTCGAATGCCCCTAGGAAGCAGGGATGTCAGGATTTGAGCACAGATCTGCTGGCCTTCAAAGGGTGGCTTGTTCCCTCTCTGGACTGCTGCCTCCCCTCAGACAGAGGTAGGGGAGGAATGGATCACCCCTCCCCTTTTTTTTTAAAGATTTTATTTATTTATTTATTTATCAGAGAGAGAGAGAGAGAGCACAAGCAGGGGGCAGTGAAAGGCAGAGGGAGAAGCAGCCTCCCTCCTGAGCAGGGAGCCCGATGCGGGACTTGATCCCAGGACCCTGAGATCATGACCTGAGCCGAAGGCAGAGGCTTAACCAACTGAGCCACCCAGGCGTCCCCGGATCACCCCCTTTTATGGATTCTGGGTAAACTGAGGCCTAGAGGAAGGAAGTAACCCAGCCAAGGTTAAGTGCTAAGTCAGACCAGGCTGGAGGCTGGGTCCGCTCCTGGACTTGATCAGTATTTCTAGCGTCCTCATCCCATGGCCAGCAATGCAGGTTGGGGTGGGGGGCAAGATAATGCAAAGCAGGAGCCTTCAGGGACTTAGGGTCCAGTAGGAGAAATGAGAGGCACAGCTGCCCAGTGGTTTGGGCCCTTTTATGGGCGAGCCCCCAAGTTCCTTTCTCTGGCCATACTGCCTTCCCAGTATGCTTCTGGAAGGGCATGCCCTTCACCGCCACTGCCCCGGAGGTCTGACGGGGGGAGGGGGCCCCTTACTGAGCAGAAGGCAGCAGAGAGGGCTTGGCAGCTGCCCTGCCCAGCTCTCCAGCCCTGCTGCCAGCCCTGCCCTGGCACCAGATCCCCAGAGAGGGAGGCAGAGGGCGGTCCAGTCCAACCGTGCCCGTCCTAACGTGCTCCTTCTGCTCAGCGTTCCTCGGGACCCGGGGACCGGCTGGTTCCGAGCGGTGACAGAAGCATCCACGCAGCAGGCTCCAGTGTTCCGAGGGAATGCGTACCTGTTTTCTCACTTGAGCTTCCCAAGGCAGGCACCCTTCTTCCCTTTCCTTAGACAGGGAAACTGAGGCACAAAAATGATTAAGAGACCCACTGAAGGTCACACAGCCCAGAATCCAGGTCTTTGCCTCCAAACCCTATATTCTTTCTACTCTACACCACCTTTGGCCTCCCTCCATCCGCTCCTGCCCATAACCCTGTTCTCAGACAGGCCCTCAGGCCTCTTCACCCCTCAGCTGCTCGGTGAGGGGATTTCTTCCTGGGGATCAGTGCTTGCTGGGACAACCATGGGGCGGGCACTTCACCTACGGTATCTCCCCTTTTAAAGACATGGAGCCACGTGTGCTGTTTCTCTCTTCCTCTCTCTACATACATACATTTGTTGAACCATTTGTGAGAACACTGCAGACACCAGGACATGTA